TGTGTGTGTGTGTGTGTTGAGTGTAGCTACACTTGTGAGGACAGACTCTCCATAGGCCTCTAGAAATTGTGTGAATGGCTCATGTTAAGTGTCCCTCTCTCTGCTTTTGGCTTCCATCTTAATATTCATCAGTTCTTCGTTACACAAACATCCTCTCATAAAAGAAATAGTTTTCTGTATGAGTGGCTCTCTTGAATTGTTCCATATTATACCCCATTCACAGCAACGAGGACATTCATTTAAGTGTACAGTGACAGTTAAGTGTGTTTAAACTACAGTGTTCATCTTCATCCATGCCCTATTTCTGACTTCCCATATACATCTGATTTCAGGTAAAACCGTGGACTGTGATGCTACTTTAAAGGCCCTTCAAGGAGCCAAGGAGCTTGTGAAAGCATTTGGGAAAAGTTCGAGCCTTGTAGCCGGTTCCATTTCCATAATGGACAACATTTTCAATAAGCTACAACCTCAGGTCTGTGTTGAGCACATGTGAAGTTTAATTCATTGTGTCCTTTCCTCTTGTTTATTTCCTGTCTATACACAGTGAGTCACTTTGAGGAAGTCTTTTCTCTCTTAGTGTGAAAGATCTTATAATAACAACCAAATTGAGTACCCAGAAAGCAGGATGTATTTTCTTACTACACACAGCCTCTTATTTTTACAGTGTTGGATTCTATATAATATTTTTCTAATTAATGAACAGCTTCATCTGTGTGTGTCGGGGGAACCTCCTGCCTGCGATGTTGTCATGAATGATGACGACGATGAAGATGTCATGTTTGCTCAGGTCACTCATCAGGAAGTATGGGCCCTGTTTGAGAACATCTGGTGCAACGTGTATCAAGTAAGGTGAGTGTAATGATTTTTTATGCTTGTACTGGGGACATTGGGGAGCTCAAAGGTCAGGGTCAATGGGACCTTTCCTCAAAATCTGACCAGTTCTCATATGGTCATAGTGACCTCATATGAGTCTGGGAAAAAAAGAATATAGTTGGAAGCTGTGCTGGTTTGCGGAGGCATACAGTTGCAGGGCAGTTATTTCCAGTTGATGGATGCAGTGCTTGGATTCCTCTTATGATTATTATTTTTATAACTACTGCCGACAACAGTTAGGGCTCATGTCTTACAGTTTTTTTCCTGATACTTGTTTTGAAAGTTATCATCATTGTTATCATTCAAACGTTGTTCTCTCCTGCGGCAAAGAGGACATTTATCACAACAGTTGACAGTAAACAAGTAAACAACAAAGGACTTGTTGAAAACTCAACCAGACTCCATCCCCGTGATTATAATTACAATAAATCGTTCATGAAATCATTTGTAGGAACAAAAGCGACAATTTGGAAGTTGGTTATTTTGATATGTGTTCTGTTTTTTCCCTCCATCGACCTACGAGGTCATTATTTTCTGTCATGTTTCAGCTTGGAAGTGTTCAAAGCGCTGGGCTTTGACCCTCACACCATGCAGAGTGTTCAGCCAGCGGGGGTTCCTCCGCCACCACAGGACGCTTTGGCTTGTTTGCAGAAACTGTCCACCATGGTCTCACAGCTGCTTCAAGCCTTCAGCAGGTATCTCAGCTGCCTCTTATCACTGCTGTCAGCACAAACACCCGGCTCCTCTGCCTGTCTGCCACAATAGTGTCAGTCTGTTACAACTGATCATTTGAGTTCAAGCTGGGACAAGACAAGGGACATTTTGTACTATCTATCTCCAAATCCATATCAGTGGGGATCTAGGTGTGTCTCACCTTTGTGAGACACAGTCAGTCCCTCTAAGAAGCCCCTCCAAACCGTCCTTGATCTGTCCATAACCAACCTTCATCTTCCTATGTCCTGGTTACGTGTGTGTATGTGTTGTATGACCTCACAGCTCTCAGGCCCTACTTGGCATGTAGTGTTGGCCTGGCTGTAATCTGCTTGACCTTGTAGCTCTGCCTTATCACCTTTCCCATGATGCAACAGGCAGCCCAACACTGAAGCAGTGGTTGTGTCCATTTCTGTTCAGTTTAATCTTTAGCGGCATGTTTGCAGTCAAGGTCCTTCATGTTCACTCGTCATAATTGGTGCTCGGCTGCCTGGCAGGTGCGACAGTAGACATTTTACACAGAAGGTGTTTTAACATGTCACAGTAGGAAAAGTATAATTGTAAATAATACAAAATGATTGATGGCTTGATTCTATTTAACTGCTTCAGTTCTGGTGTTGAAGTGAACATGGTGGCTCCATAGACTGTATATAAGGATGGACGATATTGCAGCTCGACAAAAGTGAAGCCAGAGTGTCTTGAGTGGCGGGCTGCAGTCATTATCTCCGCCTCTTCCATGTTTGCAGATTGGACATGGACCAAACTAAAATGTCAAAGTGCTCGTCAAATTATTTTGTTTGTCATTTTAGGTATTACTTATTTTTGCTTTTATGCTTCCTTCGCCTCTCTCTGTGTTTACTCCGTGTCTTTGCACTCATCTGTGAACATGCGTGAGTGTATTGGGCATCTCGAACACTGTTGCCTAGGAGACAGCCAGACTCATTTTCACGTGTTTGAGCAGAGCTATGACTCATCTCCCTCCGTATCCCTCTCAGTCATTTTTCTCATTCCATGGATGTAAGATATGGATAATTTAGGACTCAAATGGCCATTTTCTCTTCCTCATCTTTCGCTGCCTGACTTTCATTACATTCTCTCTGTTTCTGTGTTTCTCTCCACTCTCCGGAGTCACTGACAGTGATGTGTGTGCGTTTGTGTGGACGAATTGCCTCGTCGTTAAAAGGTGCAATATAAATAAACGGCGTGCATTTGTGTGCGTTACACCATTGTGTGCGTTTTTGTCAGGTGCGTGCTGATGGATGGATAAATAAAACATTTCTGAGTTATGTGCTCCTGTGGTTTGCAGATTCAGACAGAAAAGTAATTATGAAAAGAAAGGGACTGATAATTCATTATGGTCAAACATAATGAATTATCAATCAGGACAACAAAGTCCTGTCTCCCTGAACTAAATTTGCTATTTGAATCTGAATTCTGGTGGAAAAATGAAACAGTCTCACTGAGTCGTTGATTAAAATGTTTTAGCTTCGAAGTGAAAATATTTCTAAAATGTGTCTGTTTTTTTGTTCTTCAGTGTGTTGTCCTCCGTCCCTAGTTTGGAGAAAGTCCAGACACTGCTCAGCATCATCCACTCTCACAAGGTTGGCAGAGTTATTATCAAACAGTGTTCTTTGTTATGTTGAGCTCACCTTAATGTGTCGATTTAGAGCTCAGCTTTGTATGCATTGTGTTTTAGGTTGTTAATGTGGACTCCAGACTGACAGCCGAAGACCTGCTTAATTGTTTCTCACAACAGGAGTACAGGTAGGACACACACACACACACACACACACACACACACACACACACACACACACACACACACACTTGAGGTATAGATCTAGAAACTGGAAACAATAAACACTGCAATACAAACGTCCTCATTCTCCGATCACAATACCAGATGATGAAACCATGATACTGCAAAACTATGGTGAATACATCGAGCAGCGTCCCCCACTGAGTTTGTTGTATGGATTTAACAGCACATTTCGTCTGGCCTCATATCACAATCAAGCATTGTCAGGTTGTCTTTGTCGCAGCGTGTCCGGGCAGGTTTTTGTCAGAGTCAAAGCCTCTGTAACAAAACACCTTCCTTCAACATATCCCCTGCAGAGTTCACGTTAGTGGTTATGACAACACTCCCAAACATCTGCCACTGAACATATTTCCTTGAGGGAATGCTCAACAGGTATTTCAACCTCAATAATGGAATAGGCATACCTCAGTAATCACGACATGGCACTGCATTGTTCCCATGCAGTTATCACACACTTAAACTTAGAGGGTGATGATTTACCTGTTTACATTTATGAATGTTAGTATTGCTCTAGGATTTAAGAGGTAGAGGGAAGAGGTAATATTTGTTAAGTAAGCGACAGACTGTATTTAAACACTGGAGATTAAACAGTGCTTCTATGTGGACCCATATAAATTCTCATAAAGTAAAGAAAGTGTTGATTTACAATGACGGGCCTAGATCACAGCCACAGTGAGTTAATGTCACTTCAGTGGTCTATATATTTTAAATAGCTGTATTATAAACAGCTATATATCATTATGTGAAATATAGAAGTATCTTTTAAGTAAAGCCAAGCTTTGTGTCCTCTCTCCTTGACGTTTCACTCACAATTTTCAGTCTTAAAATGCCTCAAATGATCTTAAATCAGATTGGATTATGCACTTCATTTAATAAAAATAATGCAACCTAAAAAAAGTTCAATTAAATGTACTTTTTATAAAGCTGCATAAATCTTATTCTTGCTTTATTTTTAACGTATTTCCTTTCAACAAAACTACCAAACCAACATGGAACCAATAACCACTCCAACTGTGGGGCCCGGTCAGAATTGTTGTACACCTAGTTTGTCACGTTGTGTCTCGATGCTTGTTCAGGGTATTTGTGACATGTGGGCTAAGACGGTGTAACATTATTAGTGTGTGCACAGTTCAGTTGAACATAGATACATTATGGTCCAGTATGGGTGTTAAATAGGTTGCAGCTATAACTGTCTGAAATCCTCAGAAACCCTGTTATCTCTGGTCTTAAGATTAAATATTAACACCGGTTCGTGCACAGTTATCCGACTCATCCTGTGTATTTTTGGACGCTTTTTGTCACCCTAAATATAAAATGGTTTAACTTATGCTTAAGCTACAGTGAGAAGAGCTGTGTCACTGACACTAACTGACAGCATATGCTGTTTGCTCACAGAATATATATTTTATCTGCAGGACTGAAACTCAAGACGATTACGATTGTTAGTTCAATAATCAACAAATGTGTCATCGATCAAGAATTTCTTTTTTTTAAATGAGTTCATCAAATGTAATGTTTCGATGCATTTTCTGTGATTTAAATCAACATAAATGACAAAATAATGAAATGTATTTGGAAATTAAAATTTCTGTTAGATTGACCAATAAATTACGGAAATGCCAAACTAGGTTAGAGATGATGTAGAAACTGTGACACACTACAGGTTAATTACCAGGAAGCACTGACAAGTCAAAGGGATCTGTACTGGATCTCTGATATTGATCAGTGTTGGTGATATAAGTGAAAAAAAACAATGATGTATTACTATTATATCCACAGTTTGTGAAAACACAGGAGCAGTTAAAGTCCGTCATTCCTGGTTCAGTGGTTCACCGTGTTGTGGCTCTGGAGCGACAGTGCAGCTGTTTCTATGAGCAGAGGTTGAACCCAGTAGTAACCATGGAAACAAGCCACATGTACCAAACAGATGATTTTCTTTAGACAGATGATGTTTGCTGGTGGTTATGTGACGTCTCTAATGATTCCATAACCCCAGCACAAGAAATACTGACTTTCTCTCTCAGTAGAGTTGATCTAAGACACTTTCAGTCAATCATTGATCTCTTCAAATAAATAACTCTGATGTATGATCATCACGTAACTGGCAGCGTCATCTCTGTGTCTTTCACAGAAGCACTTTCTTGTTTTGAATAATGACATGAAGCCAAATGAAACCAAAGGTTTATTTAGTATTAAAGACAACATCTGCTGTGTCACTTCGTGGAAGAGCTTTGCACTTAGCTTTCACGTCATCCCAGCTTTTGTTACAAGTGCAGTCAACCGACAGATATAGTTAAGCTGCCCGTGTTGTGATTGTAAATATTTTATTGGTTACATTCACTGTGAACAGATCCGGGCCTTTACTTGGCGAGCGCATTATCCACAGTGTTAAATATTTGATTCCTGTGCTCAGTGCGGTGGCATGATGTCATACGTTATATAAAGCCTCGGGGAGGCCGGTTCCTGGATCCTGCTCGGTCATTGACGGGCACAAACAGTACACACAGGCCTCAACAACAGATAAGCTCTCACAGGAGTTTGAGGGTTTTAGAAATGTCAACAAATCTGAACTAAGGGGACTGTTGGGCCTTCGCAGTGGAATGTGCTCTCCTAAATGCTATTCTAGTTTTTACTGTGGTTTTTTTTTAATGAGTGAGAAGAAAAAGTTCACAAAACAAGACACATTTGTTTTGGAGTATCTGTGTTTCTCAGCCTAGTTTTGTTTTCTTCCTGAATAGATTCCGGTCACTGGGAATATCTCAGTATGAGCATCCATGCTTCTCCTTCTACCGGCCTGTGATTGTGATTTCTGTGCACGTTCGATGCTCTAATTGTCTGTTAATTGTGATTTTCCTGGTGTTGCACCTGCTGACGCCTTTTAATGCCACACATCTCACATGAGTTTACATTAGATTACATCTCTCTCCTACGTTGTTCAGTGTATGTTTGAATACAAGCTCACATCCTGCTCGCATCAGTGTATGTTGCTTCTTACACAATTCACAGACTCATTGACAAACAACCTCAAACATAAGCTCCTTATCCTTTGCAGTCGCCTCTGGCAGTATTATCTTATATCTTAATATTAACTCAGTAGATTTGTTTAACTCGGTCAAGTAGCGAGGAAAGCCTGGAACATTTACGTTGATTGATTTCCTTTTTTCTGAAGAGACGCTGTTCTACGACAGATCACTCTGTCTTACTTGAGTCAGAGCTTTTTTTTCACAAATTAAATGAAAAATGGATTATAGCCACATATAGAAGCTGTTGCTTTCATCCCCTGCTCCATAATATGGCTGAAGTATAAAACTGTTTCATCTCTTGCTGCTGTGATTCGACTGCACCAGAAGCCCTCGCACATCTTTGTTCATCAAACGTTTCATAAGCAAACCCAGTGCTCCCTTGTTAGTATTGAAACCTTTAGCGAGACTGAGTCAGACTTTCGAGGTCAGCGATTCGCCTTCAAACGAACATGGAAAGAAAAGTAGTTTAAAGACAACTTGGTTTAACTTGGTCTATGATCTCTCAGCGAAATGAGCGCAGAGCGAAAGAGTTTTTTATTTTAAGACAGGGAATTATTAAAATAAACTTCAAGTGCAAGAGAACAACCAAAAATAGATTAAAATATAAATAGAACAAAGCAGTTTTGTTTCTCTCTTTACAAACACTGACCCTCCTGCACATCCTGACGCTATCAACAATCTTCTTTCTTTAAACTGAATCAGAGCATGGTGGAGATGAAGAGTTGGTCGCCGTGGTGATTGTCCACGTGTCTTTGGCAGAATCTCGGTAGGAAAGTGAATCTAATTGTAGGTTTTCTGTTCAACGAGAACAACATGATCGGTTGTGTCACTGCGTCATGTGCTGCTGTGTTCTATGTGCAAATCGTTACTCGTCTTCTGAGGGTATCCATTAACTACCTGTCCAGCACATATAGGCTGTTACACAACACACACACAATCATCAGCTCTGCCTCTTTGTGTATAGGTTGTTGATCTGGGTCAGTGACTCTGTGCTGAATTCATGTGCGTCAGTGAGTTTGCATGATGGCTGTCAGACATGCTTCTCACATTCAAGATTTTTGAAGGGTCCACAGTTTGAGAGGAGGCGTTTCACACAGACTTTGAGTCACAGAAGAGAAAATCAGATCAGCTGCGATGGACCCAACACCTCCTGGGGAGAGAAAAGTGGGTAACACAACCTGCTGTTTGCACAGGTTATGAAAACACTCAGCTGCATACTGGGATGAAGAAGGGGGAAGTGAATGGGAAGAAGAAGTGCGGGTGAAAAACAGGGGGCGTCAACAGAGAGCAGATTCTGGTCTTTCTCTCCTCCTTCTCTCCTCCCTGAAGTTACATAATGTTCCAATGGAAACAAAGCGGAGAAGGAAACAAAACAAGCAACAAGCTCCCTCAGTGTCTCCGCTGCTAAGCAGCCGTTGCCAAGGCTCCAGCAGCCAGTTTTGTGCAGGTTTCTGTGCTCAAAGAAATCCTGTGATGTGGTGTTTTTCTGGTGAATTTCTAAGTGCGTGCATGTATACGGAACCAGAAAAAATGGAATTCAGCTGCAGAGAAGTGAGCGTAAATTGCTGACGGTGGAATGTGGATCTTCTGGAAGCTGCTGCTCACACAGAAGCTCTTTTGTCTGTCACGAACATTCTGTGCTGAACACGGTCAGCACATAGAACGTTCCCTCAGAGATGTCTGCAGAGAGCAGTCTGGCTTCATCCGGATTGTGCGAGATAAAGTTCTGAAGCTCTCAACCTGATAATGAAACAAATGTTTTGCTGCCTTTGCAAAGGGATTCAGATATTTAAAAAAAACCACCAGGACATTACTTCATCAAGAATAGTCCTTAAATTCACACAGAGATCAGTTCCCCAAATGTGCATGATGTTAAAAACAAACATGCACACAAACAGACAGCGGCAAAAACAGGCTTGGTAACGTTCAACTCTTCACTGAGGAACAAACTCCAAATAGACTGGAGGGGAAACTTAATGAAATGGAACAATTTGTTTTTGTAATCTACTTTGTGAATATTCTTGGAACCGGATAAACGTCCCAGCGGCTGAAATTTAGATTTAGACTTAAAAATGTTTTGTGATGAGATGCTAAAGTTTAATCAAATATAAGAGCAAACACAAACAAGTGCTGGTCTGGAGCAGAATGTGGAGAAGATTGATGATGTAAATAGAAATATTGTGTTTGTCAATGTGTCTAATGCCTAAAGGAATTTCTCTCTTATTGTCGTTGACGTTCAGATAGCACAGTATATTCAGATCTTTCTCGTCTCCCCTCCCTCTTTCTCAGCTCCGCTGATTGAATCAGTCCAGTCTGTCTGCTTTTGTTTTAGTTTTGTTCTCACTCGTCAGGGAACTGTCGGGTTTCTCTGTACAGTCTAGATCCCTCATGCTGCCTCCTGGACACGAGGCTCATCCAGTTGAATAATTCATGTTTTCTCACCTCCAGTTAAAACTGGATAAGAGGGACTGACATCAAATATCCTCATTATAAATACACCTGCACAGGGAGATGTTTCACTATAGTTCAAGTATCTCCCTGTGTAATCCTGCTGACAAACACATAAACAGGAATGCTGGCTGATTGATCAAATGTTTGATTGAATGATTCAATGATTCAATGTTTTTTTATCTGTTGGGTTTAAAAAGGAGCAACCACTGTGTTCTCAGGGAGAAGCTGAGAGTCGGAGGGACGCAGCTCCAGGGTCTGCACGAGGCCCTGGATCGTTGTGTCGGGGCCACAGGTCACAACATCACCTTCAGGACGTCGCCCTGAACGGACACATATCAGGTCGTCAGCCTTGAATTAACTCATAGAAGGAAAAGCTGTGAGGGACGTTTGCCGTTATGGTGCCTCCTGCTGCTGTTTTATTTTTATGGGTTCTCATTCATTTTATTCCAGAGACCACGCTGTTGTGTTCCCCTGAACGAATGACTGTAGATGTTCTGGATAAATCTGAAGGAGAAATCGGTTATTAAATGGAGCTTGTATGTTTTGCATCCGGCTGTTTTCAATGTTTTCTAAACTTCATTTAGATATTTTACACTTGGATCCTGCAAAATGATCAAAACGACTCAGCAGTGGTTTCTCATCTTGTTTATATTTCAGGTGTTTAGTTCAGTTTGTTATTTATACTCAAAGTTTTATTTTGATGAAAAGGTTAAATCACAGCGTTGGTTTTTATTATTATCATCATCATCATCTAAATGTTTAAATTAGCTTTTGACATTTTTGTGGGAATTTGGATTTTTAATTAGTGACATTTTTGAACCACGTGAATGTGTGATGATAGAGGACACTTCAGACGAATGGCTCAAAGTAGAACAAATACAGTCAGGGCCCAACAGACGCCTTCAACTCTGCACCAGATCCCTCATACGGGGGGGGGTGTAATAAGCATTCAATCCTTGTACTTCCGTCTCCCAATGACAGTTTAAATAGATGATTCAGACAGCCAGGGTTTCATAAGTCACATGACATACCTGTTACACTCAGTTTACAAATGACACGTCTACCCTCCCTCCCACATGTAGCGGAGTGGGGCCGTGCACGTGTGAATTACACCAACATTTAGCTCTCACCACTTAGTAACAAACATTAGCTGGTAATGTTGGTGATTAATTTGCATATTGGTTGATCTGTGAATTTTGAGGCTGGGACAGTTTTGAATTAGAATTTTCATGCTTAGATATAAGTTGAATGTCTCTTCACTGTTTTTCAACTCAGACTTGATTAAATAGATGTTTTCAGTTTTTTGTCAATGTTTCCAAGAATAAGTGTAAATTATTTGAGAACAAAATATATTTTAAGTAAAAGAGTTTTATGTTAAAAACAAGAAATTAAAAAATTTTGAAGCACTGTCTTGTGAGAAATGTTTTTTTTTTTTTTTTAAATCATCTGATCTCCAGATGTATTCAGCCTCAGGAACTTAATCTGAGCAGTTTTTAGTAGAGGCTCACCTGACGCGCGTGTGTGTGTAGTGACTAAAGGGATTAGAGCTCAGGTGACGCCAGCAGACAGGCTGAGATTACACCAGCTGCTGCTGCTGTGACACACGTTGAGGCTGAAGCATCAGACGTCACGCAGGAGGAAGTGGAGGTGCTTGGTGGACGGATAATGAGAACCGATGATTATCTGGATTTACTGAACTTCCTGTCTCGTCACTTCACTGCAGACAAAGCTCTCAGTGAACTATCAGTTAGAATGTTGACCTCTTTTTGTTGGTGATGCATCTCAGGCGTCATGAGTTTTCTACTGTCCAATAAACTCCTAAAAGTTCAAATTACATAAACCATTAATCCAAAGAGATCCTGTCTCATCTGAAAATAAACACAAAACACAAACATTACAAGTACGTCTGGGCTGTCGTACAAATCAGTAACGGCTTATTCATGTAAATCAAAACCAACTGATTTCAAATACATTTTCAATTTAATGCCAAAAACAGTTTGGAGAAAAAAAATGGTTTCCTGTGTTGGTTGTAAATTGTGAAACATATAAACAGAAAGATCCAGAACAGCTGAGGACCTAACTGAAGTGAGTAAAAATAGACTTGTCTAAGTGTGGTCTAAGTAATTAGTCCCTTCCTCCTGTAGCACATGGACCATATGGTGACTTTTTCCGTCAAGGTGTGTCAGCAGAGATTATCAGAGGCCAACTTGTGAATGAGCCCAGGGTAGATTTAACAAACTCGGACAGGGCGAGCAGTAACGTCTGGGGTCATGCACATGCAGCAGCCGACTCATCGGCTCCTCTTTCAACACTTTCCCAACCCAGAGCGACCGGCTGTCGTCATCCCTTCCTGCCGAGGTCTGTTAGCCAGCTTAGTATAATCTCCCCTAAAAGACACTTAAGAGGAGCAGGAAAAAAACCAGGGCTTAGTGTGATAGACCCCGAGGAAAATGGTGGCAGTGAAAGCTCAGACAGCAATAAACAGGACACAGTAATGACTTGACTGAGTCAGATGGAGATGTGGTGGCTGTAAATTGTGTGTTTAGTGACGACTTCTCTCACATACAAGTGCTCTGGTAAAAGCTATAACAATATATTTTAAGTTTTAACAATGCCAGAAAGTCGACTGGAGACAAAAAAAATCAGATTTAAATGATTTATTTATTATTAATTAAGAAATGTTACAAATGTGATAATCCTCTCACTCATATTCCTTCCAGAAAAATCTGCCAATGCCTGACACTTTAAAAAAAAAAAAAAAAAAAAAAAAAAAAAAGGATCTTCAGTAAACTGCATCTCTACATACATCAGTTAAAAATCACAATAACAAAAGTTTGGTTAGCAGGAGCATGGTTGTGCGTGCACAAAAAAATTCTAACTAAAACTGGCACTGGTTAGATTTGTTGAATTAAGCTGTCTGCTACTACTTGTATTGGTAAATCAGCAGTGTATAAAAAATATAAAAAAGGCCATCGTTTAAGATTCAAAAAGCAACTCAGCTTGTTTGAAATGACACAAAAAGCCATGACGGGTGTTTATCAACTCTCACTCTGAGTAAGGCTTCAAACCACTGACCTTTAAATATGTGAGCAAAAATTACATTTCCACAACAGAAATATTCTTAAATTAACTTTTGAACTTTAGAAGGTCACCACTCCACACTGCGACCTCCGTGTGACCGACAGAAAACCCTCCATGAAAGTGACAAACCTTTCAACTCTAAGAGAAAAAGAAAAGCACTAAATGTGTGTTAAATGTTGGCATATGACAAATAATGAGTAAGAAAGAAAAAATATATATATATACAGCACGGAAAAGAAAAAAAACAAAACAATGTATGCAATATGCAAAGGCGTCATGTTGTTGTGGGCAACAACCCTCCCATCCCCCTCTCCCAAATAGTCTTCACTGAAGACCCCTCAACCCCCCACCCATCCACTCATACACACAGAACATCACGAAACACGATTACGTCACTAAGCCTGTTAGTTTGGGAAAAAGTGAAGCACTGTGAAACCCTCCAACCCCCTCCTCTCCCTCCCTCCTCCATCGCCAGCTTCAGTCAGAGAGGGGAGTCAGGGCCTTGGCGCAGTCGTTCCACTCGTCCGTCTCAGGGCTGTACACCTCCATCGAGTTGAGGAACTCGTTGCCGTCGAAGCCGCCCACAGCGTAGATGGTTTTGCCCAGCATGGCCACTCCGGCATTGCTGCGCGAACACGTCATGCTACCCAACATCCTCCATTCGTTGCGGGCGGGGTCGTACACCTCCACACAGCGAAGCGCATGAGAGCCATCGAAGCCGCCAATGACAAACAGTTTGCCTGGACAGAAAGAAACTTCAGCATCAATGAAATGACAGTTATATTCTACAAAAGATGATTATTTTCACCCGCTCGAATGAGTTGTGGTTCACTGAAATTCACATCACGAAGTTGAAACGCAATCAGAGAGACGTATTTCATGGGTCTCTAATCACCCAGTCAGTTTTAGTCCACAGTCACAATACAACAGTAACTACTGAGACGATTCAGACCTGAGTCATAAACCTTCATTTGAAGCAGACAGAAATATGACTTTGGCTGTAAATCACTGCTTTTGCTTTGAGACTGGATCTGACTGGAAAACACAAGCAGATGTCAACTCAGGGCAAAAGCAATGATTTACAATAAAAGCTAAAGGTTTAAGCTCTCAAGTGTTTTTTTATCTCATGATTCTGTTTGCATTAGAGGATGAGAAATAAAGGTTTCACTGAAACCTGTATTTAATGAAACTCGTTTTAGATAAATACAACTTCCCAATGTCATGATTCTTCGACAACCCCCCCCCCATGCTTTTGGTGGTGGTCTTACCTGCATGGACGGCAACGGCGGCTCCCCTGCGAGCCACATTCATGGGGGCTATCAGGGTCCAGGTGTTGTTCTCAGGGTTGTAGCGTTCCACAGTGTTCAGGCAGTTCCACGACTCCGCTCCACCAATCACATACATGAAGCCCTCCAACTCACACACTGCTGCCTGGTGCCTCCCTGAAAGCACATTTTCTTAATGAATACAACTTTCTCCTCAGGCAGCATATTTCACAAAGCTGAAGAATCTTGCTCCTGATCATAAAGCAGTTCAGTTTCCCAGACAGACAACACAAGCTCCTCTTATATCGCCTGTAATGTGGTGCAGAGTGTGTGTGGGACTGTGTGGACACGTACTGATGTTGAGGGAGGCACAATTGGACCAGGTTTTGGTCACAGGATCAAATGCATCACAGTTCTTCAGGCCCTTCTGCCCGCAGGGGTCTGACCCTCCCACAACATAGAGTTTGTTGTTCAAGGAGCAGACACCTTTAAACAGAAGATGGGGGTGAGCTAAACTGGTTTATTACTTAAGAGGCAATCCATTTTTTACAGATAACGGATGCAACAATCAGTTAATGGTTTGTTGCAGGAGGGACTGACCTGCGTTGCAGCGGTTGGTCCTCAGTTGTGGCACTTGAACCCACTCATCAGCATGTGGGTCGTAAGTCTCCCCACAGCTCAGCTCATCAGAATGTCCATTGGAACCTCCAATCACATACAGTTGACCCTGTGAGAGTAAATGAACAACTCATTAGGTGATACATCAACCACACGCTTGTCATCTATTTTTTATTGAGTGTCCATATAAGCATAAAACAAAAAATCGGAAATAAATTATGAATGCCAAACTGTACCATGAGTACAGCCATCTGGAATCGAGCCCTCGGAGTCCGCATGGGAGCGATGAAGGTCCAGCGGTCCTCTTTGGGGTTGTAACACTCCACAGTCCTCAGACACTCCTCTCTGTTGTAGCCTCCTGCAAGTTCATAAAGATGCACAGCGACTCAGCCCATAGTATTTTGACCTTGCTCTTTTTACAACACATCTCTCCCCATATCAAACAAAATACATGATTGTCTTACTGAAGCAAATCATTAACATCCCCACTAAAATCATGACTCATCACAGTTATGAATATTTTTACATTAACTTCAGTCTCTTAGTTTGTTCCGTGTTGCTCTCGATCATAAAAAGATCAAACTCATTATAGGTCTAATAGTTATACTCCTCACATGATGCCATCCTGTTTATTTAAAATCCTGTTCAGCACCAACCTGCCGCGATGAGTCTTCCATTCAGAGCTGCGGTGCCCAGGCCCGAGCGAGCATAATGCATGGGTGAGAGCGGCTGCTCCTCGAGCTCTTCGGGCTGGGCCTCGAAGCTGAGGCTCTTCATCAGACAGGGGGTGGCAGAGGGAGAGGTCTGAGGGCTGCTGCGACCGTGCAAGAAGATCACACACAGCACACTGTCCAGCACAGCCAGACACAGGTAGGTGTTGTCTGGAGGGAAGATTCAAGATGGTTAAAGTTTAAAGGGTTTGATATTTTTAATTACATGATTTTTTTTTTTTTTAAGAGTCATGGGTACATGTCAATACAATACAAATAAAATCATAACATATAGAATACAGTCCACAGGGATTAAACCACATTTGTTCCAATGTTTTCAATTTATACAAAAAAATTCCTCAACACAGCATAAAAGAAGATGTCATGTCCTTTCAAGTAAAGTTGTTGGGTTTTGAAGTTAAAACTACCAGGCTTGTTTATTTCACATCTCCTTATCATGCAGCTCCATGAGACTTTATGAAAACGTTATTCATAAACACTTACTTGTGGTCTTCTCTGAGGCGATGTACTTCCACTCTCTCCTGATGGTCGCTTTGGGGGCGTTAGCTGCTTGGTTGGAGGGCGACAGGCTTCCTGAGGAGCTGCAGCTCATCTGTCTCTGGGTGCTCTCTCGTACCGGTTTCTTCTGCAAGAGCACAGCGCAGCTACAGAAGCCAGGCTTGCACCACAGGCCCACCCATGGCCAACACCAACCAATCACACC